TTGCCGTGCGGGATAACATCTGGGAGGCTCCGGTTCCCTCCCACCGATCACATTCCATCAAAAAATAATGTCAATCAGAGTTTTGTTCCCATATTCACATGAACGGCTTTCGTCTGCGAATATGCATCCAACCCAGCTTCGCCTAACTCGCGCCCGATACCACTTTGCTTCACTCCACCAAATGGCACACGGAAATCGCTATCGTTGCTGCTGTTAATCCAAACCATGCCAGCTTCAATCTCGCTCGCGACATAATGGGCTCGCTCAATGTCTCGCGTAAATACTGCCGCACCGAGACCATACGTCGTATCATTTGCTTTGGCGATAGCCTCCTCTTGAGTCTTGAAACTAGCGATGGCCACAAATGGGCCGAAGATCTCTTCGCGGTAGATTGTCATGTTGTCCCTGACATTTGTGAAAATGGTGGGCTCTATAAAGAAACCTTTTCCGCCTCCAACATTTTTATAGGGTACACCACCAGCGACCAAGGTAGCGCCTTCGGCCTTCCCCGCCTCGATATACGAAAGTACGCGATCATATTGAGCTTTGGTGACTTGGGGTCCTTGGAAAGTGTCATCGGAGAACGGGTTACCCATTTTGCTTGTGGAAGCGACAACGTCCTTGAACAAAATAACAAACTTGTCATAGATGGAATCTTGAACAAGAATTCGTGAGGTAGCTGTGCAGACCTGGCCCATGTTGGACATAATCCCGATATGTGCCCACTTAGCTGCTTGTTCCAGATCCGCGTCCTCGAAGACGAGGAGAGGGGATTTTCCACCAGTCTCGAGGGTGATATTCTTGAGGTTTGCGGCAGCCATTTTCATGATTTGACGAGCAGTAGCAGTGGATCCAGTGAAGGCGATTTTGTCAATGTCTGGATGTGTTGCGATTGCTGCCCCCGCATCTTTCCCAAAGCCGTTGAGAATATTCACCACGCCAGGAGGAAAACCGGCTTCTTTGATCAGGGTTGCGAGATATAGGATACTAAGAGGCGTCTGCTCTGCTGCCTTGATAACAATGGTATTTCCACAAGCTAATGCCGGACCCAATTTCCATGCAGCCATGACAAGAGGATAGTTCCAGGGAATGATCTGTCCAACCACGCCAATGGGCTGGCGTAAAGTGTAGGCAAATTTGGCGGACGTGGTAGAGATAGTGCTGCCATGTACTTTGTCGGCAAACCCGCCATAGTATCTTAAGGTCTCCGCAACCTCTCCACAATCCCCATCACGCGCAACCGTATATGGTTTACCTATCCTCATGGTGTGAGTAAAAGAATCCCATAGCATTCAGCACAAAGGAAGCTCTGAAGGCGACCCTGACCGTTATCCCAAGCCTCAATTGTAGCCAAGGTTTCCTTGTGCTGCTCAACAAGTTCTGAGAGCCTGACCATAAGCTTTCCTCTGTCTGTAGCAGAAAGGCTTTTCCATGAGGGATCTTTGAGAGCTCTGCGAGCAGCCTTTACAGCAATGTCCACATCTTCTGCACCTGCAGCTTGCACAGAAGCAATCTCAGATTCATCACTAACACCAACCCCCGTACAGCGTTAGCTATTTGTCCTATTCTTTACCCACAGGCTAGAATCTGGGTTAACCAACGTTGGATTGATGGATATGATCTTCTCGCCGGACTTGGCCGCCACAAATTCATTATTTATAAACAATCCCAGTGGTTGGGTGTATCCACGGCCGTTTGGCGCGGTGAGATCGATAGAGAGGCTAGACATTATGAAAGAGATTTTGGAGAAGTATCTGGAAGTGAGAACCGTACTTGGCCTGAGAAGCTTTCGTGGAGGTAGACTTCGGGACCGCGGGGAACAGAAGCGCATAAGTATGGAGTTAAATACTGGTCAAATTCCACTTGCTCCGCCCTGAGCTAACTTCCGTATATCTTACTCTCTGCAGTTCAAGCCCTCGGCACGAACAATCTCTATCCGGGGGGATTTCCAAGCGGAGGTTTTGCCGTCCCGCCAAAGAAGGTCCCACTTCCCCACATGGACCGAAACCCTTGGAAGTGTTTGCACTGTTTGGCGCTCTCGACGCTAATATTTTTCCTTCCACCGGGCAACAATTAGGAAGATTTCCTCATGACCCGTGGCTATATCAAGCCATTACCTTGCATTGTCTCTCTTCTCGCCTTCTGCTGCTTCAATTTCACCTAGCCCTTCCTCTGGTCTCCCTAGGAAGTAGTGTGTGCCTTTGATCGTGGTGGATTTGCAAATAAATCCAAAATGGACTTGCAGCCAGACTCCCATATCGATCAAGCGGCCTCCATCAATTACTGGAATTCAGTTCCCGCCACCGCTGATGGCATGCTTGGCGGCTACCCCCCAAATCTCCTCCATTGACCTTCGCGGCTCATCGGCCTTTCTCGCAAAAGTCCGTCGATTGATTCCATCCAGCGGCTCGGGGAAGGTTGTGCTGGGCGTCGACTGTGGCGCTGGCATTGGTAGAGTCACTGAGGGCTTCCTAAGCAGAATATGCGAAACCGTCGACATCGTGGAGCCGGTTGAAAAATTCGTCGACGTCCTCAAACGCGGGAAGTCCTACCAGGATGGCAAAATTGGCGACATCTACATCACGGGCATTCAGAGTTGGACACCAACCAAGCGCTATGATTTGATCTGGACACAGTGGTGCACGAATCATCTCACCGATGTACAGCTGGTGGAATATCTCGTCCGGTGCAAGGGCGCGCTTTCCGAGAGGGGTTTACTGATTCTGAAGGAAAATACCAATTCGGACACTGCAAATGACTACTATGATGCAGTTGATAGCACTGTGACTAGAACTGAAAATAAATTTTTAAAATTAATTTCGGAGGCAGGGCTCAAAGTACTGAGATCGGAGGAACAAAGTGGGATGCCACAGAGGCTGCACTTATTGCCGATTAGGCTCTGGGCTTTGCGCCCAGCGACTTGAAGGATATCCAAAGTGAGGTCAGTTATACATAACTAAACCTAATGATAGGCGACTTGGTCCCGACAGATCCTAGCCTGCGGCGCAAGGAAGCTAGTCCTCCTTGTACTGTACATACATATCTTGATATACACAATTCTGGGCCCGAACGTAACGTAATATACAATGGTTTATACCTGGAGCATCGGAATAAAACCGATGTTAAAATGCCGATATGTCGGGAGACAGACTCTCGATATTCGGACGTACAGCGGATTGGAAATTTCCCTCATTCCTCTCCGACTAAGCCCATGATGAACTCCCATTCCTTGCCACCAACCACCGACACGCTCAGCCGCGATTGCTTCATCATCTGCATATTCTCGAGAGGTCCGCCAGGTTTTGCAAATGACTTGAGCTCAGCCAGTGTGATAAGTTCTTTAAATTTGCGTTTAAACTCTACGTGGACAACCTCCCACTTAGGATTTTCACGGCTGGATTTTGGATCGTAATACGGGTGTGCGGGATCGAATGCGGATTCTATTCCAAGTTGTTGATCCAAAAAATAGGCATTAGACGAGACGAGCCCCGGTATAATATACTGCGTCGATTTTGTTTTCTTTTCTTTTCTTTTCTTTTTCTTTTTCTTTCTTTCTTTCTTTTCTTTCTTTTTTTTTTTTTTTTTTTTTTTTTTGCACTTTCCTTCGTTGGAGTCTCTATACGTACCGTCGACAGAGTGTTCCCGAACAATTTCCATAATTCCAGCAATTCCGGGAACCTTGCAGTTGGAATGATAGAAGAATGCCAAATCTCCTTTTTTCATGGCACGCATGTTATTTCGTGCTACATGGGTTCGCTTTTTTTTAGTCTCAAAGTGAATAATAACCTGGGCTATAGAGATTATATATATCGAATGTTAAACATACCTGTGGGGTTCCGGACACCTTTTATTCACATCAGCATGAAATCCAACAATCACCAATACACCTTAGATATACTGATTTATGGCGCGGAGCCTGATGGAGTAATGAAGACTCACCATCCCAAGCCTCTGGCTCGCTCGCCTCGCGCAAATCATCGATGGAGAACTTGACATCGACGCCCTTCTCCATCCTCGACTCCGGTTCTGCTTTCATAAGCCAATATGATTTCGAGCCGTCTTCTTCATCCTGGGTCTCATCTATGGTCTTTTTGTTCTTTGGCTCCGTCTTCGTATCGTTCGCGGCGAGAGCGGGTCTCGATTCACGATGTTTCGACGTTTTTGAAGCTGATTGCACACCTTTTGTGTTTTGCTTGGTAACTGGAGCGAATGAAGTTACGCAACCCGCCGTTGTTGCGGATATCGGTGTAGTTTGAGTTAGATTAGTTACTTATACTTAAATTCATTCTGAGTGGATATATAGCCGTATGGGAGGCTGAAATAAGTACCATGAAGCAGTAATTTTGACCATTCATTGGACACATAAATACGAAAATAAACTATGAGAAGTTTAATGTACACATGGAGATATTTGACTGTCTCGAGCGATCCCAACAAAAAGGCCCTCAGAACGTGCGAAAGGAAAGAGAGGAAACTCTAGCAGGGGACAAAACGAGATGATCTGACCTTTTTCGCGTTTCGTGTTCACAGTATTGGCACCACCAGCCCGTTTTCCGGCGCGTTCGGATGGTCCTGATGCTGGGGATTCTTTGGCAATGTGGGTTACGCCAGGTTCTGACTCCGATGAGGGAGCCGTTTCTGCCACAGGTGCGGCAGGCTTCCTAGGGTTCAATCGTGGCTTTTTGGTATTTTTCTGACTTGGTTCATTGGCATTGCTGGAAGAAACAGCCTTATGTTTCTGTCTTTTTGGAGGCATTATTTTTTTTCAGGAGAAACAATCAAGGTGACGTTGACTGGCCACAATACAGGAGGAGGTTCTGCTCTAAACAGGAAAAGGGGCAACAACGAACAACAATTGAGATACTGAGAATACTCTTGAACGAAAATATATATCTCTACATTTCATACGTGGTGTTGGCTCGCTAGAACTCACAGGGAGAACAATCAATTGGACGGGATCCTCAGGAGCTATCTACGGTAAATATCGCGACACCACGTGAATTAAACTTCAACTATTTACCAGGTGCCATCCCGCGCGTATGCGGAAATCATCCTCTCTATTGCTTTTTCTTCACCGCTATCCCTTGGGCTTTACTCACCATCTGTGAGTTCTACACTGAAAAACTGAAAATGAATTGCGAGGATCACTCGACCGATATGTTAGAGGAAATTGCTTTTGTATGCAGTCTTTCATCGCCCAAGCAACCCACAACGGCACCCAAACTTTCGTCCATTTGTGCACATCCTGCAGAGCGGAATCCTTCACCGACTTACCTAATGATTCGCGCGACTTTGCTACGAACGGCGCTACGCAGTAGGAAAAATCTAAGAGGCTCGCTTCATTTCAGATGATGGCCATAATGGCCTCTATCAGAATGCGCTTTCAAACCCCTTCTCAGCCATTATACATTATACATGAAGCAGCAGCATGTGAACCTTTGCTCACGAATTGCAGATGTGGAAAGTGAAGTGGACTTGAAGCACTGAAGCACCAATGACATGCTTTGCATTGAGATTTTGATATCACACATGGCGTATCAAGCATATTGAAGAGTGGAGAAAGGAAAATCCCTATGGGGTGGCTATGAAAGCTTGGCATTCATACATCCGTGTCTGGGACAATATTAGCACTTACATGGATGAATGGCATCAACTTCAGAGGTGGGGGTTTCTTTTTTTGTGCATTTCACCCTTCTATGCTGCGAGGAATACAGATTGAGAATACTACGGAGAATGTGTATAAAGCCTGAACATTGTATACTAGTAGTAATTGTTTTGAATACTATTGAAGGATAAAGGCCAACGGCTGCAAAAGATGCTGATCGATGCTCGTAACTTATGCTCGAAGGTGACAAAAGCTCTTTCCACCAGGCTGAATTCTTATTAGCAAGAACCGGCAAGATCAGTTTGAGGTTCTGTTGTATCTACGACCAGGAAACGATGGGGGCAAATTTCCGAGTTCCCGCGAAAGTTTGTTCTTCAGTCCTATATAATTAATTGGCCACTCCAAGTATCTCCTGGGGTTGCGATACCTAGATTTTGTCGTTTCTCTACCCCATTGAAAACGAGGCGCTATCAACCTGTGCAAAGTGGAGGTCGGTCGATGATAGCCGGGCGTTAAGCGCAGCAAGGATACTCGAACAAAAATGAAATAAAAACAGAAGCAAAAACACAATTAACAGATAGTACCAACTCATTCTATTACAGCGCACTGACCTTTTATGCTTGTATGATTCTTTTTCTCATGTCAGGGTTTTGCAGAAGCAGGTGTTCAAGGTATAGTTTTCAGATATGTCGGATAGGTTAGCTGGAACACTGCCAGCTGGAATTGATGGGCATATTACTGCGCCAGAGGCTCTGCCAGAGTCCGATGCGGAGCAGTCTCTGAAAGAACCGCAGGCCACGGAAAATAGAAATCTTGAGAAAAAAGATGATATTGCCAATTCGACACAATCATCATCAGCAGCAGCAGGGCGGTGCAATGGAAAGGAAGAATTTCAATACCACTACCTGACTTTCGACACTCCGCTGCCACCTCCTACAGGCATTTCAGTTCCCAGGCCGGGTCAGCCACGAGCTCCCGAGCAGCCGGATCTGCGACCATATATTTCCCCATTTACATGGCGGAAATCACGCAAGGGGGTGGTAACCATGCTATCATGCCTTGTTACGACTCTGAGCGCGATGGCAGCAGGGGCATATAGCCCGCCTGAAAAGATACTCACAGAGAAATGGAAGATAAGCGGCGTGGTATACAATCTCGGAATCTCGATTTTCAGCTTTGGGTTCGCTCTTTCGCCGATGGTGCTTGCGCCATTTTCGGAAATCAATGGGCGGCGACCAATGCTTGTGGCCAGTGGGATACTCTTTTCTGGTGGGTTGGAATAGATGGCTATGACTCAAAAATACTGTCGCAAAAGTCCCAAGCAACTAACTGTTTTTTCCATATACGGTATCTGCTTTCTAGTAACTCAATTAGGTTGCGCAGTCACGGATTCTTTTGCTGGCATGTTGCTCTCTCGATTGTTTCTTGGTGTTGGAGGCTGTAAGTTTACATGAACTCTCCTTGTCATGATCATGCAAGTATAAATATGTGCATGGACTGTACATGCATGGCTAATCAACGGTTCCCAGCAACGTTCTCGTCCATAATCGGCGGTGTCCTCAGCGACGTCTACGTGACCGAGGAAAGGAATACTCCTATGGCATTGTTCTCCGGAGCCGTCCTCTTCGGCACGGGCTTCGGCCCCATGGTTTCCAGTTTCATTGTTCACCACACTTCCTGGCGCTGGGTATATTACTTGCAAACGATTATGTCCGCCGTGGTTACGGCGATGGTTGTGGTTTTCTTTAAAGAAACCCGTGGCAACTTGCTCTTGAGTCGGAAGGCACAAGCGTTGAATCAGTGGTATGAACAACTTGAGGAGGCTGGATATGTTGGTGTCGATATGCCAGTGCTTGGGAAGGACGGGGAAAGCGAGCGACAGAGCCAACGGATCCGGTGGAAGGTCAAGTCTGATGAAGAACGAGAGAGTATAGCTAAGGTGCTTGCAATATCGCTTTATCGACCATTCCGTAAGTGGGCGAATGCTCTGTATATTATTTTTCGATCCCCTTTTAGGTTTTCTAATTCGATGAGACATCCTTTTGCAGACCTCCTTTTTACGGAACCGGTGGTATTTTTCTTCTCACTCTGGGTCTCCTTTAGTTGGGCAGTATTATATCTTCAATTCGGTGCCATCAGCAGTTTTTTTCAGGATAACCACGGCATTCAACCTACTGCAATC